TAAAAGAAAATATAAAATATATATATATATATATATATATATATCATTTTTTCCGTACACATTTAATATACATATACACAAGGAATTATCAATTATACTCGATTGTTAACATTTGACAAATAATTCCCGTTTCGTACTAAAAAAAAATAAATAAAAAGAAGAAGAATCAACAAAAAAAAAAAAAATAAAAGAAAATATAAAATATATATATATATATATAAAACGAAAATTGTACTTTCATCGAAAATAATTGAAATGAGATTTTGAATTGTGAAATAAAATTCATTATGCCTCGTAAATTATCCTCGTCGTACATGAAGAGAGAAATGAAGTTTTACGTTCATCGTTCTAAAACATTGATCCAAAGTAAATATTATCTTACAACCCCGTGCTCCTCCTCTCCCCTCCCCCTCCACACACACACACTTCCAACCACCCCCCAACACCTTTCTCCCCCTTTTTCTAATCAAAGAGATAAAACGATACTATTGTTATATACAAATCGATCATAAAACTTTATCGATTTATTCGTATTATTATTATTATTATTATTATTATTATTATTATAATCACATGATTTTTATAATTCCATTTAGTTGAAATCCTTTGTTTACTAAATCATCATCACTTTGATTTGAAACTCGAACACTCGTATGCGTATACGTTCTTTTTTTTAATGTGTAAGTGTATATATACGATCAAAGCGATTAAAATGAATTCGTCCTCCTGCTTGCTTGCACATACGTGTATAAGATACAGATATATGTATGTATGTATGTATGTATGTATGTATGTATTTGTTTTATTCTCTTCTTTTTTGTTTTATCTTACTTAAAACATATTAATCTGACTAATGTACAATTTTGTTAAATCGATAGAGAAATAGAGTAATTTCCCCAAGGACTGTACAAAGCATGGATTCGGACACGAAATAGAAGAAACGTTGAAATTGTTCATTTGTATTTTTTTTTTTATTTTCTCTTTGGTTTCTATTTTTATTTTTAATTCTTTGCTTTTTACTGGTTCTTTTTTTTCTTCTCTTTTTGTTTAATCGACTCTTACGTACGAAAAAAAAAAAAAAAACAGAAAATGAGCAACGCGTTTGTATGCAACGAGTTGCAAGAATATTTTTGCATAATTTTATATTTGTCATATTTGTAATGCAATTAATTCAAAATTGTTCGTTAACAATTTTATTTAATAATAATAATAATAATAATAATAATAATAATAATGTTTACCATCAATTTATTATAAATAATTCCTCATGGAAATGTCTGATTTTTGATCATATTTTTGTTCTCTTATCATTGAAAATTGTTAACGAGAATTGTGCGTAGGCTTAGAAATCTTAAGCTGATTGTAAAATGCAATTATAATTCTCACATATATATATATTTATATCTATCGGGTGAGACCCAAGAAAAAAAAACAGATAAACAAACACCCGTCTTTTTATTCGATGATGAAAATTAATTTCGTATTTTAGTTTTTTTTTTTTGTTTTTTTTTCGATGCGAGGTTCAATCCTTCGACAGAATTTGTTGTTTCTCGTTGCACGTATTTGTATTTGTATTAGTATTTGTGTATCTATATATGTATGTGTATACGCATGTATGTGTGTGTGTATGTGTGTGCTTTTATTTTTGTTCGATTGTATTACTTATTCTTTATTTTCTTTTTTGTAAAAGAAAACAATTTTAAACCTCATAAGGTTTATTAGCTGCCACATGAAACGATTTTGAACCTTCTGCAATTGGTAATGGATCTTTCTTGTTGACACTGTGTACTTCATGAGTCAATCCTTTTTTTATTTCAAGACTCTTGTACGTACTATACACGACGAACCATAAATAGGAACTCGTGATAACAAATAACAACACGATTACACCTAATGAAAATCAAACGAAACAAATGATTCATTATTAATAATAATATAAATGAATAAAATAATTACAATTAATTAATTGATCATTTAAACACATACGTTCACAAATGTCTGCTTTGCCACCGAGAATAGCAATGAATGGACAATCCTGTTCAACCAGGAACAAGGATATTGTAAATGCTGATATTGTCGTCATCATTACCATCATCCAAGGTGCCATAAAATGACGTTTGTTCTACAAATACAATTCAAACAATATATATATATATATATATTTCTTTTTTTTTTTTTTTTAATAAATTATTAAACCATTAATACAATTATATAAGAGACAAAATATATTGAATTAATTTGTATTATTAATTATACCTTTAATGCACCATAAAGTAATAGAATTGAAGTCATAAAGTGTATCACAGTGATAACCAATCCACAATAAATAGAATAAATGGTCTCTGAAGATAAATAATTAATAATTAATAATTAGATATTATATTGTTTGAAAAAATATTTAAATAATATTTAATAATAATATATCATTATTATTTTATTGATAAAATTAATGATATTATTGATGATAATGATATTATTAAATATATATCATTATATATATAAATAGGTATAATTATCATAATGTTTATTTTAAAATTATTTTTGTTAATTTTTACCAGTAGCATTGTGGTGAGCCATGTCCATTTTTTTAGTGTTAAGATAATTGGAGGATATATCCTCCAAAGCTTCCCTCTCGAGTGCATCCTCGGTATCTCTCACCACCATTTCTTGAATTCCCATAGCATGTGCCAATGCCAGGACGAAAAAATCAATAATAAATCCGGACATAAACTAAAAATATAATAATAATTAGAAACATTCTTTTTCGATATTTTTTTAAAATATTTTTTTAACTCACCAATTGCATTACTGCAATTAATATGGTACCTTGACGGAGACTGAAGTAACATAAACAATTTTTCAATAGTCCTACCTTCATCTTGACTCAATTTAATTTAATCAATCCCTATTTAATAAAAATATTAATTATTATTATTATTATGAATTTATTTTTATTGAAATTTGTATCGATGTGTATTGTTTATTTAAAGATCAAGCCAATGTTATTTATTTTTATCTTTAAATATTCATAATATAAATATAGCGAGAGAAAATGAAATGATAAAAAAAAAAAAAATAAATAAACAAATTGTAAAAATTGCAAAATTACATTTAAGATAAACAAAAAACATTGTCAAATATGTATCTCAACAAAACTTACCTTTTAATAATTAAAATATTATTATTATTATGTATATTCGAAAAAATATGAATCAGTTAATAGGTGAGCTTTCAATTTGATTGCTAGTTTCCACCTGGTGAAAGAGAATCAATAAACTTTCCACAGTATTATGACACGAAAACAAAACATTCGACAACTCGATGACAATTCTTAATACACTTTAGTAAATAACAAATGAAGAAAATAGATATTGTTACGTTTTAATTGACAATTTTAACACTGATGATGATAATGATGATGATGATGATGATGATGATGATAAAGATAATATTAATGATAATGATATAAAGATTTGTATTTGTTCAGATATGTTTCGTTTTTTAAGTGAATATTAAATTTCAACAAAGTGTTCATCGAGTTAAGGTTCTTAAACTGTTTGAATGTTGCTGTTGCTGTTAACACCGATTAAAGGAAAACGCAATTTTCTTTTGGCTCGTCCGTAGGAGGGCGGACTTAGTTTAGGAGGAAGAGTAGAGAAGAAGAGAAGAGGAAATGGCCAGGAGTGTAACTATAGGAAGTTTCCCTTATCTTTAGGGTAACAATTCCTCTTTGGCCCTCTGTGTCTCTATACTGATCATACTGATACTATTACTGATGATACTACCTTGCTTGTTCACTTGCTTGTTCAATTTTCTCAAACCTTTTTCTTTTTTTTCTTTTTTTTTCTACGCGCAGACGCATCAGAAACACTGCATCTCCTTCGTAAGCTGCTGCTGCTGCTGCTGTTGCTGCATTTCTTGTTACAATCGACCACCAACATATTCATTCATTCTTTCCTTGTATCTACACTTATATATATATGTATAACATTTTAAAGTATGATAGGAGCAATTTATTTTATAAATGTTAAATTATGAAACGATATTGTAGTTTTATGTTATTAAAGGGATGTAGTTAGTTGGAGGAATGATAACACCATATGGGAACTGAATTATGGGTTTATTAGAAGGAATCAAATTGAATTGGAATGCATTTGAAATAAATTATATTAAATTTAGGTATATATATCAAAAAATATTTATTATTATATTATATTATATTATAGAAAATGGTAGACGAGAATTGTGGTTGAAATGTTTTCAAATCCAACTTAAATTCTTTTTTTGTTTTTTTTATTAATAAAAATCTAAAAATCTTGTTTATTAAAGTTCGAAACTTTTCAACTTTGCCTTGTATTTATTTTAATTATTATTAATTATATAAAGTATTAATTTAATTAAAAATACATTTACTATTTGTGTGTATAAAAAAATAGACAATTTATATTTGTATTTGTTAGTAAATAATTGCTAACATTTCTCATTTTAATTTCAATATGTAAATTACGTAGTAATTTTTATTTAAAATCATCGACATGTTGAATGTGTTTTGTAAACTAATAACATTTGGTTCACTGTGTATAATAGAGCTGATAAAATTGTAAAACTCATTTTGATATTGGGTGTTAAAATTGATCGAAAAATTAGTTCGATCAAGTTGAATCATCGAATGGGTGAAGAAGGGATGGAAGGGGTTGATGTAACCATAGAAACGTGACACGCGTTTATGTCATTCGTTTGATCTCACCTCGATGATATGAAAGTTTTATCGTAGCGGCTTTTTCTAACGCGAATTTGTTTGTACATTTTTTTCTAAACGTTAGTAGAAATTACAATTTTTTTTCTATTGGGGTTATTTAAATTGAAATATTTGAAATGGAACGAAATTATCAAAAAGTTGGTATGGGTGTTGGTGCATTTCATAATCCACCTAGAGCAAAATACAGCGAGGAAACGAAGAATTTAATCAAACGTGAGTAGTCAATTGAACAATCATTTTTTTTTTTAATTAATTATATTAATTGGTTGTTTTATATATTTAACAATTTTTTATTATTCGATAATAACCTCTCTCGAGTGTATAAAATTAATAATTTTATTAATAATCAATCATTAATTATAATTAATTTCTGTTTACTATTCTAATATATAAATATTCTTATGTTTATTTTTAAATATATTTTAATTATTTAATATTTATTTTTGTAATTAGTTTTAATGGAAGAATCTAAAGTTGGCATGAGTCAAAGAAAAATTATTCAAAATGCCATCGACAAAGGAGAATCTCTACCACCACCCCATAAATCTATAGGAGATACAACAAAATCTAAAGAACCTCAGGTAAACGTTTGAATGATTCTTTTTTCTGTAATTTTTTCATTTCACACAAATACATACACAATATTGTTTCGTAGGTGGTATTTCCAAGTCTTTGGAAGAAACGTTCGCAGAGTATGATACTTGGCAGTGGTGCATACGAAAGGGAACAATATCGTCGAACTGCACCCTTACGTAAGTATTTTAAATATATATTTTTTTAATTAATATAAATTGTAACATTGTATATTTTTGTTCGTAGCTAACAAGGAAAAACAGAAACGTCATTTGGCTTGTTTAATGGCTTATGGAAAAGATATGCCAGAAACACCTCATGGACCGAAAATTCTTCACAGAGCAAAAAGAGAACCACGATCAAATCAGGAAGATAATTTTGAATACGGTAACATTTTATTTCTTTTATTTTCCTCTCTATTTTTTCTATTTGTCAATAAATTCCTTTTTTTTTTTTTTCTTTCTATTACAGTTATCGATGGAATTCGTGAGAGAATAGAATTTTTGAACGACATGGAATGCCTTGGTTTAGGTAAAAAATATCGACCTATAATACAACAAGAGATTGCTGAAAAGATTCGTTTTATAAAATCCATTAATAATGACAAATCTGCGGAAGTATTAAAAGAATTAGAAAAATTTCAATTAGAACGACCACCACCTAAACCATTCCCTTTGGGAGATTTAGATGAAAGTTGAAATAACTTTTTAATTATTTTTAATGTATAAATATATTTTGTGTGTGTGTGTATATATTCAGATAATTAGATTTATCGAAATGTTGGTAAAAAATCGATCAACGCAAGATATTTTTTAATATAACCAAAATTTTCGATAGATTTTAACACGTGTATATATTTATCGTAAATTAGAATATAAGATGATGATAAATATTTTATATACACACGAATATTTGACAACGTAGTATATGTATATAATGAACAAAAAATAATATATTTTATAAGTATAATAATTAAACTAATGATTTCTAGTCGAATATAATAAAAACTATTTAAAAAAAATGATCAAAAACAATAAAATTTCGAATATTCTCATTTGAATATTCGTGTCGATATAGATAATTGGCGCGGTAGTATTTGATTGGTCGATATAGTTCGTGCGCCCGCCACAAGAGTTCGCCCGAGTGGCGGGAGAAATGAGGAACACTCGCGTCGGTCAAATTCGTATTGGTCCCCTCAGTTCAGCGCCATACGGCAATGGCGAACGGTGTTAATAGTTTTTATCATTATCGAGATCTCGATTATTCGAAATATTTTAACGCCCGGGGTGATGGTGATATTCGTGCAAAGCGACACGAGTGTTTACAAGTATCGACGATTATTCACGTGTGTATAACAAGTTAAAAAAAACAATATTCTAACCTAAATAATAAATAAGAAAAAATAATAGCGTGAGAAGGACATAAAGGAATCGTTTCGATCGGCTTCCCGGATGATCTACCAGTGAGATCCAACATGGCGTCAACCGATCTGTCGTTCGGTAAACGATCAAATTTTTTTTTTCTACAGATTTTCTCTCTTTCTCTTACTCGTTTATTTTTATTTTTTATTTTTATTTTTTTTTTTTCATTTGAATTATTACATTTAATTGTTTCTGTTCTTTTTTTTGTTTTTTTTTTGTACGAATATTTTAAACATACATGTAGTTGCAAATGTTTCAATTAAATTATAAAACAATATTAAGAGAGAATGATCTGTCAATAATTTGGGTTTTTATTGTTTCTTTTCAAATTGATTTGATAAATAATCGAAATGTAATGTTAATGTTACCTTTTTTTCTGTCTTTTTTTTTTTTTGGTTATGTAGTAAAATGTTAAATGAATGTTAAATTGTAATAGTAGGAATTTTTATTCGTAATTAGAAATTACTGGAAAATGATACTCTATTCATTCGGAGTAACGTAATTTTACGTACGTTTGCGGAAGTTCGTTGAAAACTGGTTTAAAGTGGTCTATTAAATGTCATCAATTAGTCATCCTAATGCCTAATCCTAATTCTATCTTCTTTTTTTTCTCTCTCTCTCTCTCTTTAATTCTGTTTAGTTTGAAATTTAGATAAAATATTTGTCTATAAAAATTGAGATAATTTCTACGATGCATGTTTATATGCATTTTATTACGTGTCTGATATTTACATCAAGAATGTATTGGTTTTTTTGTTTTTTTTGTTTTGTTTTGTTTTTAACAATTCAAATGATTTCTAGATTTTTACTAGATAAGTTACTAGGAATTTAAGTGTAAACGTTATCACATTAAAATTCTTGGAATGTTTAAATAAAACTTCATTGTTTTTTTTTATGTTTACCTTTAAAAAAATGATAATAAAATTTATCGTAATTTATGTTTGACAAACGTGATAGGTTTTTTTTTTGCATAATTTGATAAAAAAAAAGAATTTTAATATAAGACAAAAGAATTGGAATAATTTGAATTATTCGAACACACTACTTGAATCAAATGTGATCGTACGAAACAATTGTAATTTATGATATAAGAATAGTTTGTGTTTAGTTTGTTGGTTTTTTTTTTTTTTTTTCAATCATGGACGAAGTTAGTCAAATTCAAAAAATAATTTGGAAAATAATGTACGAGGGGTGGGGAATTTTTCTTTCTTATTCTTCGTACTGGATATTCATGAATGTGATCCGTTATAAAGAAACGTGAAAGTTATACGAATAACGGCCTAAATTATAACGAGCCACACGTTAGATGAGAATAATAATAAAAAATGTCGTACAAAAAATAAAAAAGAACTAACGGTTATTATTATTATTATTATTTGTTTTTTAATATTTCTCTTTCTGTTGAGATAAACAAAAAAAAGAAACGTTAAATAAGAATAATATTCATTTTATCAAACTTTGCACTTGTTTCTACATTTGATATCACATTTGTTGTTGTTGTTGTTTTTTTTTTTTTTGTTTAATTTTGTTTTATTTTTTATTTTTAAATTTATTGAGGAAAGTGTATTACGTTTTTTAAAATGAACATATAAATGATACATCACAACTTTTACTTTGGACGTTTTATTAGAAATTATATTCAAACACGGAAAAGACGTTCGTAATAAATTGAAATAAAAAATAAAAAGAAAAAACAAAATAATATTTCTACATTTGTACGCGTCATTGATAATTTCGTGTTAGTTTAACTTTCACTCGTAATTATTTATTAATGTTGATAGATTGATAAATAAATTTGTGTTTATTTTTATTTATTATATATATATATATATATATATATTAGGTGGACCAGAAAGTAATGTTGCTTTTTAACCTCAAAATTCAAACGAATAAATTTGTCAAACAAAAGTTTTTATTATTATACAATAATTAAATTAATTAATTAAATTAATTAATTAACATTTTTCTATATGAAATGCAAAATTTTTAATATCATAATGATAAAAATCATTAATCAGTTTTTTGATATTTAAAATATTAGAAATAATTTGACATGCGTAGTAGCCACCATTACTTTTCGGTCTCCATGATACATTTTATTTGAATGAAATTATTAACCTATAATAATATTACATTTAATCATTTATTTATTGTGTCTATTAGATTGAATTTATAATAAATAATTAAAAAACAAAATAATATTCTCCATTTAT